TGTGCTCCTGAATTATTTTTCTATTGTATCTAATAATTGTTTTTAGAAATTTACCTACATGTTTTTACACGTTCGCAAAATTTAGGTTAGGACAAAAACCTGCATTAATATATGCTATATTTGATAATCTGAAAAATACTTGAATTTTTGAACCACTATCTCAGTGACTATTGGATCGAATACTTTTGGCCAGTGAAAACATATCTTAAATATCCTTATAAGATATGATTTCACTAGCTAAAAGTATTCTCCTACTGTTAAAATAGATAATTAATATAGACATTGAAAGGATGGAAAATATTGTATTTGGGCCTAATAATATGCTGCAATCTTAATTCGAGGGACCATGTAAATACATAGTTTAATAAATAAAGTAATGCCTATTATTAGAGAGTTCTCGTGCCTCAGACGCTACGCTAATACGGTACCGCTAACAATACGGTATTTTAAATGGTATTTTATAGTTCTCGGACACGAAGACACAAAAATCCTCTAATCCCTTATTCTGTTTACATTTTGACAGCTGAATTGAGTGATCTAACCCAACTTTTTTTTGCTTGTTTGCCAACTTTTATTTATCCTGAAGATTCCTAAGTTTCATTAATTTGCCCTTGATGTTTTTTATGGAGGAATTATTAGAACTTGCTGTTTTTGCAGACGTAAATGGAGCTTAAACTAATTTTGACATAGCATAGCGTTACGGTAAGGCATCCGCTAACTCCCGTTAGGTAGCGGGCTCCGCTAACGCTTATACTGTAAGAACTGTCTTACTTGTCAAATAACGTTACGGTATTTGAAATTTGGACAACACGAGAACTCTCTATTATTTACATAATATACCGTATTAGACAGCGCTAACAAGTAACAGAAATGAAGCTTCTGCGCTTAATGTTTATTTCAGCAATGTATGCTTATTGAAAATTGTATTTTATATTGTATTATTGTATTTGTTTGGAAATAAACCAATTTATTATTATAATTATTATTATAGAAATTTTGTTAGCAGTGAAACAAAGATGTGTGTATATAATGCCTACTTTTTGTGGCATCTCACTCAGGTACCTACTCGTGGAGTGGTCGAGTTTCATAACGTAAAAATTTTACAAAACAAAATATTAAATATTGTTTTTGAATACAATAGACGCACACATACAGAATTATTTTACAGGGAGCTAGGTGTGCCTGACATGCAAAAACTACTAAAGGGTTTAGCAATCTAAACTGGTGTATAGGATACTTAATAAGAAACCTAAAACCAATATAAACATTATATTTACAAACAATATACACACTTATAGTAGAAGAACATGTGATAACATATAGGTAAGACTTAAGAAATGTAAGAACGAACAAAGGGGCGTACAATCCCATATACACGATGATGTCAATTTGAAATCTTTCAATGTGAATATCTCTGAAAGTGAAAAAGTTAGGAAAACGTAATTTGGTACAAACGTTATACAGGTAGGGGCAACTATAGAACCACCATATTTTCGTTATAATGACCCCTTGAGCCCCATACACCCCAACCCCAAGAGTCAGATTAAATTACCTATCTCATTGTAAAAGCTGTACTAAGGTAAGATTCACAAAGAACTACAAAATAGTGCCTGAATTATTGTGGAAGCGTGAAAATGTACAAGCCATAATGACCCCTTGTGCCCCATGCACCCCAACACCAATATTTTAAATGGTACTATCCCTTTTTTGATATCAAAAATTAAATAAGTATTTTTTGAGAAAATTCTTCTGCTGATAAATACTATACTCAAAAATATTCAATTCTAGGTATCACAAAAGGGGCTATTCAAAATTTTTGGGTTGGGGTACATGAGGCTTAAAGGGTCACTCACCCCATAGCCAAAATATGCTGGTTCTAGTTCCCCCTACCTGTATAATATTTGTACCAAATTACGTTTTTTCAACTTTTTTACTTGCAGAGATATTCGCATTGATAGTTTTCAAATTGACACCCTGTATGTAGCATCAGAGACATAATGAACTACCTGTAAATATTGAAAATACCTATAAATAATGAAGCTAGGTTTATTGAAGAGGTGGAGATACGTATTGGAGTTTAGGAAAGTTTGAATATTTTATTGTTTCTTGTTGCCAGAAGAGGTTTTTGGGTTTGTGTTGAGAAACTATCCTTTGAGACCAGTGAACTAAGCACTGATTAAAGGATTCTTTATGTAGATAAAAAATTGTTGGATGATATTTGATGATAAATAAATGTTTTCAAAAACAAAAAAATATTAAAGGACATTTGAAGTTCTTCAACTTTGTTGAGAAGTTATAAGCAAAAAAACTGGAAAAGTCCGAAAATTTCGAGGTTTTAGTTGCAATTAACGTGGATAATAATTTGGGTGCACGAAAGGGATGAGGATAATAGTACATTATATACCTAAGGAGTAAAGTGGTACTTTTAATCCCAGGACAAAAAGTTTTATAATTTGTCGAGGCATTGAAAAACACTTTAGTCGTGAGGTGTATACTTACACTATTTTATGCACTTTACTTTATTTCCCGGGGATTAAATAAAACAGGGAATAAAAGGATACCTATATTTAATCTCCGAGAAATAAAGTGAAATTTAATTCCCGGGAAATAAAGTGAAATTTAATCCCGGAGATTAAAAGACCCACTTTACTCCCTTATAACAGGGATTAAAAGGGTAATTTTAATCCCTGAAGTGCATAAGTTGGTAATTTCTCTGTATCCTTGAACCACTGTAGCTCGGTTACTATTGCGTTAAGATAATACGTTTGACTAGTGAAATTTTAAGGAAATTTAATGTTCTTCAACTTTATAACTAGGTGTATTCCGCTAAAACGCATGGTTAAGAAAATATATAAGCAAAAAATTCTGAAAATTTCGTGATTTTTCGACTCCCCCAAGCTAGTACAGGTTCCTCGAGGTCGAAAACTCACATTTTACTTCAAAGACTATTTACAAAAAATGGCATACTAAAATATCATTAACTTCGGAATACTTTCCACCAGTAAAGTAAGTACTTGCAAGTGCCTGCTGGACTATAAGTTAGTGTCACTTGTGAAGTTTCTGAGATATTGAGCTTCAAAATTGAAACAAGGAAGCACAATTTACATTGAAAATAGCCCCCCGTAAATTTCAACCAAACTCCAATATTTTAAAGGTGACATCATTGCAAGAAAAAATTTGAAATGTAAAGAGGATCGTATGTCTGGTGATAGCAGATACAACTCATCAAAGTACGTAGGTCCTGCTATGCTATGCATAAGAAATATCCGAGGAAATATGCCTACGTAGATTTTCTTGAATTTCTCGAAAAATACTAATCCGATTTTGAAGTTTTTGGGGTCCTTTTGTAGGTATCAAACTCCAAAAAGGTCAAAATCGGATTAATATTTTTGGAGATATTCAAGAAAATCTACGTAGGGATAAAGGGATATTTCGTTAGATATTTCTTATGCATAGAGCAGGACCTACATATACTTTGATGAGCTGTGTATTTGGTATCACGTACATACGATCCTCTTTACATTTCAGATTTTTTCTTGCAATGATGATACCTTTAAAATATTGAAATTTGGTTGCAATTTACGGGGGCCTATTTTCAATGTGAATTTTGCCTCTTTCTTTAGTCGATATTTTGTCCAAAATTTTAAACTCGGTTTTCTCAAAAACCGTGAATGCTATAGCGATTTCAGCGAACCACCATTTTGAAGCTTATTTTAACGACAGCTACAATTGAAGATAATTTTGTCCCGGTACTGCTTTTGGTTACCAAGATATTGAGGTTTGAAGATTTGCAAATTAAAATCTAAAAGGTAGGTACCCTTAGGAAGAAGTACCTACCTACCAAAAACTGAAAATTTTTATTTTTGGATTTTTCTCAATTATGACTTTTTAAATCGATAGAGCGAGTCCAAGTTAGTCAGAAACAACTCTAACATCAGTAAAATTTGAAAATTTCGATCAGAAAAAAAATCCGAAAAGGAAATCTAATTTTTGGTTCTGAACATTTTTGGAATCTTGACATGCTTGACATGAATAATAATTGCTCAGATCTTCAATGATATTTGAGAAAATTGCCTACAATTATGCATTATTAAATAGAGTATTAAATTCTCTATAAGCCCTGCGAAATTGGCTTTTGTATCCTGTGAAATTTCCGGGGTATTGAGCCTCAAAGTTAAAATTTGGTCGACATTTTGTCTAAAACTTCAAACTCGATTTTCTCGAAAACTCTAAGCGATAGAGAGTTCAATAAAGTAGAGTCGGTACTACTACTACTACTAACTACTACTACTACTGCTACTACTACTACTACTACTACTACTCAAAGATAGTCAAAATTACTAGTTTTCAAAATGTGCTTACTTTTAAACATCGATATCTCGGAAACTAATCGTACAATTTAAGAGTTTGCTATAACACTGAAAAGGGAAAGCAACAGCTATCCAACGATGTACACCACGTAGGTTCTTATTTGAAAAAAAATGTTCGAAACAATTTCTTCTAGACTTCTAGTGTTTTTTTGGTCTTCAGATGTCCAAAACATAATGCAAACATAAAAAAGACATCTTTCGAAAAAGAGCCTTTGAAACCACAAGATTTCTTTCCAAGCGTTATTACTATAGAGTCAGATTAAAGTATTTACCTATATCTCATTGTAAAAGCTGTACTAAGGTAAGATTCACAAAGAACTACAAAATAGTGCCTGAATTATTGTGGAAGCATAAAAGTGTACAAGCCATTCAGACTGGTCAAATATTGCATTGTCAATATGTGAAATTTAATTTATAGAGTAACTACCTATAAAAGATTATGGTGAGAGTTGTAAATTAATTTGGATTCTCTAGATAGATGAGGAAGCTACCTATAAAGGGATAAGACGCAATGAAATTTTTTGAAAATAAACTTCCACATTGCATAGTTGATCTCCGCCACTGTAAACACTAAGGGGTGTTAAGTTACGTAGTGTATCCCGTGCAAGCTAGAAAACAGTACAGACAAAGCAGGAGGGCGCATCACCTCCAAACGGGAACCGGGATCCCGTGTGTGTGTGTATGGTTTATTTTGTACATTTGCATTCGCTCGCTCACGTCGACCGGCTACACAGCACGCTTTGTCACGCTTTAGTGCTCAAAGCTCAAACATCGCACGCTCTATAAGAGCTCCCTCGCTCTGCATTTTCGTGTTTAGTAGTTTAAACCCTCACAAAAAGTACGAGAAACAGCTGGTGTTGTCGACGTAGGTAGTCTACTAGTCTAAATTTAAAACTTTTTTCAGTTGAACTTCGACGGTGGCTAGTTAAACTTGGTTTCGCGCGCGATTTAACTTTTAACCAGTTGATTTTTCGTTATACGCACGCGGTCGCGTAAATATACGTAAGTTATAAAAATTTATGTGCATAATTTGCAAAGACCTGCTCCCATATGCGAGATCGCAGGACTAACTTTACCAAAGAGTACATTAATAATATAGTCAATCCGTTGGGTAATAGGCCTGCAAGACCTACGGAAATCGCTCGTGCCAACGAAGAACGCGCGGCTACCCTTTTAGAGCCCGCCGAAGAACAATCAAAGGTAATAAACAATTTTTTTGCACTGAAGATGACACAAGCTTTGAGACGAAACGTTTTGGTTAAAAATAAGCTATATTCGCTCTCAAGCTTAATGCAAAGATCATAGTATTGTATTCTATATTTGACTTTCTATTTTAAGTTCAAATAAACATCTTAATGCATAGGCTATTAAAAAAGCTATAATGACTCTATTATTTCTTATATTGTTGCATTAGTTTTAACTGAATTTTCTCATCATCTCAATAGTAATTATTTTGGTTCCAGACAATGTTAATGCCGAGCGCAGGCATAGCATCGCCAGATGCGGACACCCTCAGTTTAACAGGACTGGGGGTCCTGAGCACGGTCGGTACCCTAAACGGTTCCTCGGTACAAAACAAAGATACGACGTTCACGAAATTGTTCGTCGGCGGGTTACCGTACCACACGACCGACAAATCGCTGAGGGACCATTTTTCCGTTTACGGCGAAATCGAGGAAGGAGTAGTGATTACCGACAGACAAACTGGAAAAAGTCGAGGATATGGATTTGTAAGTGAATTTTTAATAATATGGTTTCAATCTTAAAATACAAGGTGTAACACTATTAAATGCCAGAAAAGCAAGTAGGTATTATCATTTTGAACAATTTGAAAATTTTTCGCACCACCCTGTAGATACAATAATATGTTCCAAATTTGTAAATGAACTGTGGAATTTTGAAAACTATATAGGAGACATAATGGATTCGCGCTTGCGTCATCATTAACAAGTTAATTTTTCCAATTTCTGAGCTCTTAATGTTTTTCGAATCTTGAAATTTTTGTGCAGGGTGAGTCACAAAAATTATATCTCAAGAAATATAATTCCAAATGAGAGAAAATTCTCAGATTCTCTATAGTCCTTAACGGCAACTACAATGTCAGAAAATTTCAGGATGTAAATCTCCTTCACTTAATTCCTTGGTTTTCTGGTCAGTATTGTACCTACTTGATGATCAGCTTATAAATGAATAAATTGCTAATTGCTGCGGAACTTCTAAACTCTCAGCATTTCACTCACTATTAAACTGCTCAAAAACCAAAAACGATACTGACCTGAAACATACACTAAATTATTCTCAGGCACTCAGAAAAATTGAAAAAATTGATAAATCACCCCAAATTGCTTAACACGATTTTATCTCAGGAACTATAAGTGCAAATGAGCTAAAATTTTCAGGGATTGTAGTCCCTTGATTGGGATAAAATTCAGTGAAAGTTTCAGCTTTCTATCTATAATAGAAAAAAAGTTATGACCTTTCAAAGTTTTCCAAAATCTAAATAATAAGGTAGGTACCTTCTTACAAAAACGATGAAATTTCAATTTTTATCTCAGGAACTATAAGTGCAAATAAGCTGAAGTTTTTCAGGGATTATAGTCCCTTGATTGGGATAAAATTTAGTGAAAGGTTCAGCATAAGGTAGGTACCTTCTTACTAAAACGATGAAATTTCAATTTTTTGTCGATATTCTGTATCCTAATGGTCAATCAACATACCCCAAACTCCATATACTAAATTATTCTCAGATTTGAAGCCGAAATCCATGAAAAAAAGCACTCAGAAAAATTGAAAAACCACCCCAAATTGCTTAACATGATTTTATCTCAGGAACTATAAGTGTAAATGAGCTGAAGTTTTCAGGGATTGTAGTCCCTTGATTGGGATAAAATTCAGTGAAATTTTCAGCTTTCTATCTATAACAGAAAAAAAGCTATGACCTTTCAAAGTTTTCCAAAATCTAAATCTTAAGGTAGTTTAATTGCTTAACATGATTTTATCTCAGGAACTATAAATGCAAATGAGCTGACATTTTTAGAGATTGTAGTCCCTTGATTGGGATAAAATTCAGTGAAAGTTTCAGCTTTCTATCTATAATAGAAAAAAAGTTATGACCTTTCTTACTAAAACGATGAAATTTCAAATTTTTTTTGTCGAGATTTTGTATCCCAATGGTCAATAAACATACCCCAAACTCCATACAATAGAAAACGAGTGAATTTTCAAACTAATAAGTGAAATTCTCCCACTCAATTCCTACACGTTTTCAGGTCAGTATCTGAGTGAACTTCAAATTTCCACTGATTATCAACCTGTTAAGTACGACACTGACCTGAAAACGAGTGAAATGCAGAATTTTTGAACTATCTTTACCTAAATTGATCATTTTTGATCGATTTCCCCACCTTCATGCTGACTAGCAATGTAAACATTGGGTAAATATTTACCTATTGAGCATAATGCTGAATACAAACATTGTTTTTTCTCCCAAATTGTTTTCATGAAATGTCTGTTTCGAATTAGTATAGAAGCGATTCAGCTTTATTAAGTTTCCCTTATAAAACTCTTTGCTTTTGTATTGTTAGCAAAGAGACAAAGGGACTTTGCAAAGGGAAAAATGTGTAGTGATAAAGATGTGCAAGTCTTCCAAGGTTGCAAAAACCTTTTCAAGATTCACGTGATAATCAAGACTGTAAAAATCAGAACAACAATTATTAGTCTATCATCAATTTTTAAATATTGACTGGTAAACTCGAAAACATTTTGAGTTAACAACTTCAGCATCTTACTTATGTAACTATGAACTATGCCATCTTTATATCGACCTACAATTATCAAGCACTTTTGGTCCTACGTTAACTCCTTAAGAAAGGACTCGGGCATTCCAACTACGCTTCAACATAATGGGCAAATTTTCACAGACAATCAGGCCATTTTCGATGCTTTTGCCGGCCACTTTCAATCTTGCTACACAGACTACAAAGGAAGATTCCAACATACCCTTTGTCTCTACGCTACCCTTCTATGACTTTTTGGAAAATAATATCGAATCAAAGCTAAAGCAATTGGACAGCTCCAAGGGTCCAGGTCCTGTTATGTTCCTTTAAAAATGTCACCGTTGTATGTCAAAACCTCTGCGAAAATTATTTCAAAGATCTTTCAATCAGGATTACTTTCCAGACTGCTCGAATCCAATTTTCGTATCTGGCGACAGGAAAGACGTTCGCAACTACAGAGGAATTTCCCTATTATCAGCTATCCCCAAATTACTAGAGGCCATCATTTTAGTGAAGATCTTCGAAAGATATAAGCACCACCAGCATGGTTTTTACTAGGGTCGATCTATACAGCAACAAGTCTGGCCGTTTATCAAAACTACCTGGTCCATTCACTGGAAGCTGGTCACAGAGTCGATGTTGTTTTTACCGATATATCAGAGGTTTTCGATAGGGATTTGGACTGGTTTGTTGCATAATGTAGAAGCAATTTTTTGGAATTGAACGTCAAGAAGTGCAATTTTTCTAGAACCGGACTGTCCAGCATTTTTGTTAAACCATCGAAAACCAGATAATTGAACATGTTGGCGTTTACAATGATTTGGGAGTGATCTTTGACAATAATTTAACTTTTAAGAACCACATTGAAAATATTGTGAACAGAGGGTTTGTAAAGCGCAACACAACTCATCTACATGATACCTAGGCAATTCACACTCTTTACAACTGTTTGGCGCGTAACATCCTTGAATACTGCAGCGTGATCTGGTTTACAACTGTCACAAATAACGGATTAGAAGAGTTCAGGCAAAATTTGCTAAATACCTCCTTTGTACAGGAGGCACTTTCTCTATGAAAACGTCGACCACAGCATTAGGTTCCTCCTGTGTGCCCTGAAATCATTGGAACAAAGCTGTTTCTGTTACTTTATAAGCTGGTCCAGGGGATAATTTCTGTCAAATGCCTTCGTGAGTGCCAACCTATTGGATTCCCGTCATGGAAACATATGAAACCACTTACGCTCTTCCTTGTATGCCTATCACCAGCCCAATCTGCATCACACATAGCTTCTAAGCCTCTATCATTTGTCCCATACATCAATACATAGTTCTTAATTCCATTAAAGGGGATGTGACCCAAAAATTAAAGTTTTAGTGCAAAAAAATCTAAGAATAAATATTTAAACCGCATCTTGCTACGATGATCCGTTTTCGAGTTAGGGCGGCTTAAAGTTACTGCTAGGTTTTTTTGACGTCACACTGGATTATCAGGGAAAGTATTAGCACGTGTAAGAATTTTCTAAAACAAAAGACAATTATCTTCTAGAGCGAATTGCAACCACTTAAAGTATGGGGTACGGTTCACTGATGACTGAACGAACAGAGGACTGCGATTTCGGCGGTTGTGACATCACAAGCTCCTGCATAATTTATCTTCAAATGGAATTTTCTCGGAGACTATTTTGAATATAGGACTGCGGTTTTCACGAGAGATCTTAGATTTTTTTTCTTAATTTAAGTAACTTAAGTCGTTTTTCAGGGTCACACCCCCTTTAAGGTAGTTCATAATCCTTTTTCCAGCTTTCTATGCTTGTATTGTTGGCTTGTCCAGGTACCGGCATTAGACTGCAAATCAGCTTTCTATACGGGATATTTTCTTCTATAGGTTGTCCTTTATCCATGTGGAAATTTACTTCCATCGGTGTTGCTATAGGTCTACTATTTTCCATAACGAATTCTTTCAATAGTCGTGTGATCATTTTTGTCTAGGTAATCTTGATACCAAAATGTTAATATTTGTTTGAACGCACGAAACGCTCTCTGACGTCACAATGCGTAACGAGTTAGCGCGCGCAAGTACAGTGGCGCTACTAGCACCGTTTGCGTGTGAAAAGTGCGAGTAATTCGCACCTCGTAGGAAAACACGTACGTAGGTACCACTTTTTTCGACTTGGTTTAACTTTGTTTGAGTCTCCCATCATTATACAAACACAGATAATTAGAGTGAATAAAGCTTCTTTGGATAAAGCTATAGTCAGCAACACAATTAATTCAATGTAAACTTGTAAACAAATCTCGCTAACGCGCCAGCTGATTGTTTGTCACTGTCCGCACAGTGACGTCACAAGCGCTACTCTCGCCGCAGAGGGTCGTTTTGCTAGCCTCGCTACTTTCGGTTTTTTGTTTTCGATTTATCAGAAAAAATAAAGGGTTTCTAGATGTTTTAACGCTTGATACGTGTTTTGTGGACCTAGAAACACCACTTTTTATTACAATTGAAAAATAGTGAACATTCCTATTGAGATAACCTCAGCCTTCCAGAATCGAGATTTGAGAAAAAACATATGGCAACACTGCTTATAATACAACAAAGGTCAAAAAATTGGCCGGTCCCCTGTTTGGCCACTTCCTACGTATTCGCCGAGGCTAAATCTATATGTCCATGTGGGTTTTTTCTAATTTTGTACAACTATCAATGTCAAAAATTTTTACTTTTCCTTTTTTCCAAAAAACAAATGTCAGAAAACGATCCCCAGGCTCTGAAAATCCTAAAATAAAAAGTTTCATCGATATATGTCAAAAACCAACGGCCTGGCAACGCCGAACGTCTTTTTTGACATATGGTAAAAAAATTTTGGTACTTTCTACGTATTCGCCGAGGCTAAATCTATATGCCCATGTGGGTTTTTTTAAATTTCGACAGCTGTCAATCTCAAAAAAAAATTCTTTTGTTTTTTCCAAAAAAACAAAAGTTAGAAAACAAGTCGTTTTTTAGTGGGTTTTAGGGTGAGATTTATGTAGCAACATGTAGCAACACTATGAAAATTTAACGAATTCATTTGTAGCAACAGTTGGTACAAAAAATTCAATTTCCCGTCGGGTTTGGAATTCGAATTTTGAATTTTCCCAGCTCCTCATTGGCTTGGGGATTCGAATTTTGATTATTCTCGGCTCTTGATTGGCTTTAAATTTGGAATATTCCCGGCTCTTGATTGGGTTTAAAATAACCTATAATCTCGGCCCTCCGAGCTCGAGATTTGAAAAAAACATATGGCAACACTGCTCATAATACAACAAACGTCAAAAAATTGAAATTTCAAAGTATAGACTTTGGTTTTTTTGACAATCGATACAAAATGAGGTCTTTTTGTTGTATTGAAATCAGTTGACAATGAACGGGTTCGTTTGGATAAAACTTTTGTCGATATCAACAGATGTCACCTGTCAAATTTGACACATGTTCGACTTTTTCCCCGCTCTACTATAAAAGCTACGAAAATCAAAACCCCGGTACAAGACAGTTTCACGACGCTAACTATCGATTTGTGTCAAAAAAATTTGACAGCTATCAACGTCAAAAAAAGTTTTTTTTTTATTTTGCGAATTTCAAGAAAAATAGTGGTGGAAAACGATCCCCGGACCCCAAAAAACCTAAATAAAAATTCCAAAAAAAAACAACGAAAATGACATTCCAAAACCTACTTGATAAAACTAAAGTTTTTCTCAATTAACTCGTTGAAACACTGGAAATTTTTGGTGGAAAATGCAGAAAACTCAAAGTCTCGTACTTTAAATCAGTTTTCCCGACTGAAAAAGCCCCGGAAAAGTGAAAAATTCGAAGAAAAACTGAATAAAATGTAAACACGTCAATTGAAAATGGCCGACTGTCAAAAATGCTTCTTTGATTGAAGTTAGCCACAAGCGATGTTGCCGCATCAAAAGCATTTTAAATGGGATTTTGCTAATTATAGCATTTAAAACTAGAAATTTTTACTAAAAAATGAAGAAAACTCAAAACCTCGTAAGTTAAATCGCTATTTTCCATTAAAAAACCCCGGAAAAGTCGAAAATTTGAGAAAAAACTGGCAAAAAATCATAAGACGTCACTTCAAAATGGCCAACTAAAAGCAACGTTGCCACATCTCATCTCGGAAAACAAAAATAACATTTTAAAAGGGTTTTTTGTTTAAAATTCAATTTAATAATTAATTAATAATGATTAAAATTTCCCAAATAAATCATAGGAAACTTGTTTTTACTTCAGTTTCAATGAAAATGACATTATAAGGTTTACTTATTGATTATAGTGAGTAAGACAAAGACAACGATAAAGTAGTATATGTTTGCAAAAACCACCGTTTTCTGAAAAAAGAAAATCTTGAAAAAAACCTCATAGAAAATCAACATTCCAAAGTCAATTTGATAACTAAAGTTTTCGAATATTCCCGGCTCTTTGATTGGACGCTAAAAATCGCATTTTAAATGCTCCCGGTTTTTAATTGGCTTCAAATTATCTGCTGACCAATAGAATTATAGACTGAGCCTCGTGATTAAAATAACTCCGGCCCTTCGGGCTCGCGCATAACTCCGGCCCTTCGGGCTCGCGTATAACTCCGGTCCGGCCCTTCGGGCTTGTATTACTCCAACCCTTTGAGCTCGTATATAATTCCGGCCCTTCGGACTCATATCTTTGTCTAAATTACATTGAAATATCGAAATTTGTAAATTATTATTTCAATTAGGAATCAGGAATAAAAAATTGAGACTGACGAGCCGCCACTGCTACAAAAGTCAAAAACAACACAGGTACAAAGTAAAAGAATTCTACATATACTGTGCAAATACAGTGATCATCAAAACTTATATGCAACATTTATTATTATTATTATTTTAAATGTGGCATTTGGAGTTTAACTCTGAATGTACCACGCTCAATAAATAAATAAATAAGTAAGCTTTGTATACCTACCCCATATTTCCTCTGGAGGTTGGGTTGTTAAACCTCAGATTCATTGTATAACTGAAAATATTGGGGTGTTCCTACGTGATGGGATGATTTGAGCAACAAATCCAGTTATCTTTTGACAGTAGCCAACGCAAAAGCAACAAAATTTCATTTCAAGGAGTCCCATATGTGTGAATTTTTCTTTATATTGGTTCATTTGTAAGGAAATAGATATAAATAAAACTAGTTCAGACGTCAAACGGATGCGATGGTGTGCTTAAAATAATTTTCGAGATATTTCCAAAAACATTGTGTGTGTTTTCAAAACCTTCTATAGGACAAAATGATTATTTACGCACTAGATTGGTGCATTAGCCATAGCAAATCATTTTTCCCTGGATAATAAAATGTTTTGAAAGCTATCATCGTTCGTTTTTCAATGACGTGCTGTGCAGGCATCATCGTTTTGTCGTAAAGTTGTGTATTTTTAGAGTTTTTCATGGCTATTCTCGTATTTTTTGGATTGTCTTACCCACCCAGACATTATTTTGTTTGAATAAACGCGTCAAAGCCCAATCAGCGCCGGATATATGGATTTACGAAAAGGAATCATTTCTCCAGCTTGTTGAGCCAACTTTTGTGCAATAAATCAATGATTTTAGTCACAAAATCAATCAGTTTCCTTCAATTTCTCTATACTTCCCAGGTGCCAAAAAAAAAAACGAGCTGATATTTTTATTATACCTCAAACAATTCAATGGCAACGGGTGGTACCTAGAACGTAAAAATTGATACACCATTAAATAGGTTCCGCTATATGCCTTTGTGCAACTACAACAGCTGTCGATTTTATTCACCCCAGACTGTGTGTAGGGCACCCAAACAGTAACCCATATATCTCCCGAACAGCTGGGGCAGGGGTGATACCCTAACTACTTGCTTAACATAATCAGTCCCATAAAATATTATGCCAAAAGTTTTTTTGTGGACTCAAATCTCGCCCTCAATTATAGTAAATTCACCCTCAGTTTAATAATTATTAAATTTGATTGCAATTAAGTTAGACAGGCCCTAATAGAGGGGTAAATATTGATGAGCTGTCTATTTAGAAGCAAATATTTTTAGTTGTCAATTATTGTTTCAGGTGATTATGTCTGACAGAGCTTCGGCAGAGAGAGCTTGCAAGGAACCAAATCCCATAATAGACGGAAGAAAAGCTAATGTTAATTTGGCTATTCTAGGAGCCAAACCAAGAGGAAACGTACCTACCGGTAAGAGCTTCAAAATTTGTGATTCTATACCAGGCTAATCATTATTTCAAAAACCAAATTAATTAATTTAGATTTCCACTCTTTCAAGTCCAAAATAACACAAACACGCCGGTTGTTTGGATTATTTTAGTTGTAATTTATTTCCTACATTATAGTATATACAAATTCCGAACCTATTATTTTATATGTTACGTTTTCGCAGTGGAGTATAAGCAGGTAATTATCTGTAACAATTCAGTCAAGTTCCGTTCGGCGGTATTTACCTGTCGTCAGAGGAAATTGTGTAGAAATTAAAATGAAGGTGAGCTCTATTTACTAATCACATATTTTGTCTCTGGTGTGATTTTCTCACTTTCACAGAAGCTCTATTTTTGAAAATAAATTTGGATTAGAGTAAAGATACAATCGTTCTCATGTGATCTGGGTGCATATTCTCGAGACAGAAGAGCAACGTTCTCATGAGAACGACGTTTCTATCTTCGTCGCCCATATTTATTCATATTTCCATAAAACTGTTGAAGACAGAGCAATCGTTCTTATGAGAACACTGTTCCCGGGTTTCGAGAATAGACATCCTGGAAAATATCTCGATTTCAATGTGTGAGAGTCGATCAGATTGAGTAGGTAATATCATTCAAAAAATCGTTTAGAGTGAGTTCACCGGTATTTTCACATTTTCTACTCTGATTCAAGTGGTCTTCATACGGAATTGTTCGGGAAACAATATCAACATCATCTAAAGGCGCCACTTGGTGAACATACTTATGCTATAAGGGCTCTTTGACTTTTCTTCCATATGTTCTAATATGTTCGAAATCTTTAGCGGTTTTTCTTCAGCTTTTTATTCTTCCCTTATTGTTTTGGAATAAAATACTTGTTCCAATAATCAAGAATCGATAATTGCTCTAGTGGTAATCAAGAGTCGGTGATAATCCAAATTATGATTTTCTCTGGATCTTGATTCACTGGGAAAATGTTTGGACCATTCACTGGAAAATTGCTCTAGTAGCATTCATGAAGAGCCGGTCATAGTTCATATTTTGATTATTATCAGCTTTTTCTATCTATAATAGAAAAAAAGTTATGACCTGTCAAAATTTTCCAAAATCTAAATCATATTTTTTTTTTGTCGAGATTTTGTATCCTAATGGTCAATCAACATACCCCAAACTCCATACACTAAATTATCCTCAGATTTGAAGCCGAAATCTATGAAAAAAAGCACTCAGAAAAATTGAAAAATTGATAAATCACCCCAAATTGCTTAACACGATTTTATCTTAGGAACTATAAGTGCGAATGAGCTGACATTTTCAGAGATTATAGGCTCTTGATTGGGATAAAATTCAGTGAAAGTTTCAGCTTTCTATCTATAATAGAAAAAAAGTTATGACCTTTCAAAGTTTTCCAAAATCTAAATCATAAGGTAGGTGTACCTTCTTACTAAAACGATGAAATTTCGATTTTTTTTTTGTCGAGATATTGTATCTTAATGGTCAATGAATATCCTTCAAACTCCATACACTAAATTTTTCTTAGATTTGAAGCCGAAATCTATGAAAAAAGGCACTCAGAAAAATTGAAAAATTGATAAACCACCCCAAATTGCTTAACATGATTTTATCTCAGGAACTGTAAGTGCAAGGCTGTTGCTGTAGAATTTTTCCAGTAAATCCAGAGCCAGTAATATTCGAAATTTGAACTAATCTTGGAACTCGATCCGCTGGAAAATATCAAAAGTTGGGACTATTACCAGTTCTCCATTCACTGAAAAATTGCTCTAGGAGCAATGAAGAACCAAAAGTCCAAATTACCGGCTTTCGATTCATTAGAAAATTGCTCTAGGGCAATCAAGAGTCGGTAATAATCCAAATTATGACTATTCTCTGGCATCCGATTCGTTGGAAAATTACTCTAGAGTAGCAATCAAGAGCCGGTAATAATCCATACCTACTTTGATCTCATAGCTATCACTGTAGGATTTTTGCAGGTGAATACAGAGCCAGTCTTATTCAAAATATGAACTATTACCGACACTCGATTTGCTGCAAAATTTCAAAAATTGTGACTATAATCAGTTCTCCATTCACTGAAAAATTGCTCTAGGAGCAATCAAGAACCAATAATAGTCCAAATTACCGGCTCTCAATTCATTGGAAAATTGCTCTAGAGCAATCGTAAGTCGGTAATAATCCAAATCATTAACTCTGCCTTCTCCCATTATCCTATAATTTCTCCTACAAGATATTGTTTGGATTCACTTTTTGGGGAAATTTGAAGAAGAATTATTGTACCAATAGCTTCATCATTCAATTCTGTGATATATTTTCTACAGTTTTATTGTGACGTCGTAGCTTGATAAATATATTTCGTAAAGTTGCTTATTTCTGTGAAAAATGGAACACCTCATAGAAGATAGGAAGTGTGCACTTAATTCGTTGAAAAGTGTAAATTCTCGTTCTTTTTGAGATTTGATGTGAAAGGTAGACAGAATCTTTTGTTGGTGTTTCTTGTTGGTTACCAACCATAATTGCTTATAGATTTTTGCTTTCAGCATCTGATATATTCATCTTCTGATGAGCTATTCTATTGGTATATACAATCACAAGTCATTAAACTCCATACTTTCTCTATTTTGCTACTAAACCATCATATAAATCACTGAATCACAGCCCATAAACAAATTCGAAAAATATAAAATATATATTCTCGTCCACTGCAGTAATAATATACAATATTATAGCTCACTGCTAAGCTATGATATATATTATATTATCGCTCATCGTCCATAGCCGGTTTTATGTCTATGTCTAGAATATAATTGGATTAATTTCAATTTTTGACTTCTCATGATAAAATTCACATTCTGATTTTATGATTATTGGAATCATCTGTTCCGATTATATTCTCTCCATTTGGAAATTCAGTTTTCAACTCCTTTGAGTTCACATTGGATGTTAGTATTTCAGTAGGTAATTCCATTCTCAGCACTTTTTCGTAATTATTCCTTAAGATAAATTGATTACTTTTTATTATGTAGAAATTCATCCTCTTCCATAGCGACTACTTTGCAATTTGAACGTAAAAGTTTAGTGTTGATTTTGTTGAAATTTCTTCTCCTAACTTTTGTAGGTATGTTTTTAAAAAATAACTTCAGTTGCCTTATAGTATTCGTTAAAGAATTTTCTTTTCATGTTTCCGTTCAGGTTCAATCTAACAAATCTATCTGGTTGATATCGTGCAAAAACTATCTACATCAGAAATCTAGAATTTATAGCGAAAACCCAAGGTTCCTAAAGTTCATAGGTTGCTTGGTAATGGGTAACCTGTTGACGCGTCTGGGGTGCCTTATGGAAATTTGCATTATGTTGAGGCCCCCCAGATGACGTCATAAAGTTATCAGGCAACCTACCTCTCTCAAACAACCTTGGCGAAAACCCACATCACATGAAGTGGTATTCAAGTCTTCTAGCAGAAGATGAGATTCAGAGGGTAGAGTCGAAAGATTGAATTTCCAGTTGATTTGAACTATTAATTTTCCAGAATGAAAAGACATTTATAAGTATGATGTATGTATAATGATTCAACCCACCAAAATGATATTTCTAGTGAAAGTTCCTTCGAAGAAAACTTGATGAGATCTAGAATACAATATTTTCTCTTACGTAGTTTTTGATTACGAGAAGAAGAAGTTACAGTTTGAAACAAAGATGAAGAGAATGTTAGTGAGGTTTATACTGATTAATATTGAAGCAGAAGCATTTATTTGTTACAAAATCCTATACCATTCTCTACCTTGATATAGTATCAGCATCTTCTTCTAAACCAGCAAAGTTTCTCTACCCATAAGAATGAGTTCAGAAATTTTTTCAGCAAAATTTCGCGTATCAGCGTATTGACCAACTTCCTCGATTTTTCGAGAATCTTGAATTCCAATAAGGACTTTCCAATTCCTTAATTTATCATTACAAAATAATACATTGATGAAGTATCTCCAAAAGTCTTATAGCTCTCATTTAAAACCTATCAAAGCAAAGGCCAGCTTAGTGAATCAAACTCCAATTCATATCCTTTGTGAATCTAGAGTTTTGCCACTAAACCAGACTAAAATTTCGAAAGTATTGGTCTACAGATAATAAAACTATAAGGAATTCTTTATCCTGAGAATGATAGAGATATTTTATGAAACCCAAAACTCATTAGTTTCGGGCCACTGATAATAACAGACCCATTAATTTGATGACAACATAAAATATCAAATTCTTAATCCTCCAAAATCTCATAATCCTATTTTGTCCTGCCGGACACACACGTAAATTATCTTAATTTGATATAAAATCGACGGAAGTATTGTTCAGAGACGTCACGGTTATATGATCCCAGATGGGTATAACGCGTGCAAGTAGTTATGTCCGTTTCCGGATATGCCGGAAACCTAAAGAAAGGGCGAAAAAGACCCGTGCCGCTCCAGAAAACAATACCTTACGTCCTGATGGTATTAAATCACCCACAGTAGCGGGGCTTTACTCTTTACTCTAAAAAATCTTATTTGTTTTCAGCTTTTCCATTTACAAGTGTGAGACCAGGGACGTACCCGACCCTCCTACCTAGTCAATATGGGTAAGTGCCTCTATACTAGCCCTTTAAATTTAAACACATTGTATCACCAACAAAACAATCCATATAATCAAAAAAATGTTTCATGTTTTCTAGCCAGTTAAGCTCACGGAGTTGGTGATTCCTAAATCCATTGAAAAAACATTGTTTTATTGATTTGGCAGACTCCAGAAAAACGACTGGAAACGTAAAAAGTGTAAACAGTTAGTCTCTTTTTCGATTGAGTGTGTGTTTGTGTGTGTGTGCGTGGATTTTATTTTTAATTTTTATTAGTTCACTATAAGCAATGATTTTTGTCAAGTCGTGCATATAGGATTCGTCCCCTAGGTGGTTGCCACAAACTTTTACGATCAGTTGTTAATCTAAAAATAATCATTATTGGTTTAAAGCCAATTTTACGGTTTTATTTCAAAGTTTACGAGATCTGTATGGGGGTTAATTTGCCTGTTTGGATCAAAAATTCCCGGAATCAAGTTCACTAATCCAATTAATTGATAAAGAAACAAATCTTAAATGTCTGATTTTTAAGTTTCTTGTGGCCATTACTATATAGAAGATTTGACAAAAATTATGTTTGTGCACGATTTTCTCCAATCAATAAATAATAACGTTAATAATAGTTCACAAATTCTCAACTTGAAGACAATATTGAAGTATGAGAAGCAACTTTTAATGGGATTCACTTTTTCCAAATTTCATTCCCTATAGTGATATGCTTACTTGGGTCTAAATCAATTGATAGTAGAGTGCCCAATGCAAAAAATAAATGAGTTTTGTGGGCGCGTCACAAGATGAAACTTGCACAAAATGAAGGTTTTATAATGTTAATTCAAAATTCCAAGGTAATACAAAATCAGAACGGGCAAAAGGGCAGTATATTCAAAAATTGAGATTATTGCATGAACGTAGAGAATAGTAATGACTGTTCTCATATAAAATTGATCTATTTTTTTTTTTTAATTATTTCCAGATTTATAGTTTTTGAGCAAATTGAGTTTGAAGTTTTTGACAAAATTTGGACTAAAAGTCAACTTTGAGGCTCAATTGCTCAAAAACTATTTGAGCAATCGAACTCAATTTTGCACGGATTTATAGAGAATTTAATTCTCTTTCTAATGATGTATAATTTATTTCAATTTGATTAAAATTTTCCAAAGAAATTGGGCAATTATTCATGACCATGTCAAGATTTTGAAAATTTTCCAGAGCCAAAAATAGGATTTTCTTTTTATTTTTGTGTCTGCTTTAAATGGCCATTTGGAATTGATATCAGGATTATTTTCCACTAATTTTGACCCGCTCATAAAGTCAAAATTGAACAAAACTAAAAAATAAAAAAATCAAATTTTTAATAAGGATACCCCCTTTGAATTCTATTTCAAAATATTCAAACCTCAATTGCTCCGTAACAGTTGAGCAAATTGCATTGAAATGTCCAGAATTTTTAACTTTTATCAAGTTCTACATGGCTTGTAATTTACAATATTTCCAGAATTATAGTTTTTGAGCAAATTGAGTTTCAAGTTTTTGATAAAATTTGGACAAAAAGTCAAATTTGAGGCTCAATTGCTCAAAAACCATTTGAGCTATCGAACTTAATTTTGCACGGATTTATAGAGAATTTAATTCTCTTTCCAATGATGTATAATTTATTTCAATTTGCTTAAAATTTACCAAAGATATGGGCAATTATTCATGACCATGTCAAGATTTTGAAAATTTTCCAGAGCCAAAAATAGGATTTTCTTTTTATTTTTTGGTCTGCTTAAAATGATCATCTGGAATTGATATCATGGTTGTTTTCCACTAATTTTGACCCGCTCTATCGATTCATGAAATCAAAATTGAACAAATTAAAAAATAAAAAAATCGAATTTTTCATAAGGGTACTTTCATGTAATTCACAATATTTCCAGATTTAAAGTTTTTGAGCAAATTGAGTTTGAAGTCTTTGACAAAATTTGGACTAAAAGTCAACTTTGAGGCTCAATTACTCAAAAACTATTTGAGCTATCGAACTCAATTTTGCATGGATTTATAGAGAATTTAATTCTCTTTTCAATTATGTATAATTTATTTCAATTTGCTCAAAATTTACTAAAGATATGGGCAATTATTCATGACCATGTCAAAATTTTGAAAATTTTCCAGAGCAAAAAATAGGATTTTCTTCTTATTTTTGTGTCTGCTTAAAATTGCCATTTGGAATTGATATCAGGGGTGTTTTCCACTAATTTTGACCCGCTCCATCGATTCATAAAGTCAAAATTGAACAAAACTGAAAAATAAAAAAATCGAATTTTTAATAAGGGTACCCCCTTTGAATTCTGATTACAAAATATTCAAACCTCAATTGCTCGGTAACCGTTGAGCAAATTGCATTAAAATTTCCAGAATTTGTAGCTTTCACAAAGTTCTACATGGCCTGTAATTTACAATATTTCCAGATTTATAGTTTTTGAGCAAGTTGAGTTTGAAGTTTTTGACAAAATTTGGACTAAAAGTCAACTTTGAGGCTCAATTGCTCAAAAACCAATTGAGCTATCGAACTTAATTTTGCACGGATTTATAGAGAATTTAATTCTCTTTCCAATGATGTATAATTTATTTCAATTTGCTTGAAATTTACCAAAGATATGGGCAATTATTCATGACCATGTCAAGATTTTGAAAATTTTCCAGAGCAAAAAATAGGATTTTCTTCTTATTTTTGTGTCTGCTTAAAATGACCATTTGGAATTGATATCAGGGTTGTTTTCCACTAATTTTGACCCGCTCTATCGATTTATAAAGTCAAAATTGAACAAAACTGAAAAATAAAAAAATCGAATTTTTATAAGGGTACCCCCTTTGAATTCTGATTACAAAATATTCAAACCTCAATTGCTCGGTAACCGTTGAGCAAATTGCATTAAAATTTCCAGACTTTGTAGCTTTCACAAAGTTCTACATGGCCTGTAATTTACAATATTTCCAGATTTAAAGTTTTTGAGCAAATTGAGTTTGAAGTTTTTGACAAAATTTGGTCTAAAAGTCAACTTTGAGGCTCAATTACTCAAAAACTATTTGAGCTATCGAACTCAATTTTGCACGGGTTTATAGAGAATTTAATTCTCTTTCCAATTATGTATAATTTATTTCAATTTGCTCAAATTTTACCAAAGATATGGGCAATTATTCATGACCATGTCAAGATTTTGAAAATTTTCCAGAGCAAAAAATAGGATTTTCTTCTTATTTTTGTGTCTGCTTAAAATTGCCATTTGGAATTGATATCAGGGGTGTTTTCCACTAATTTTGACCCGCTCTATCGATTCATAAAGTCAAAATTGAACAAAACTGAAAAATAAAAAAATCGAATTTTTAATAAGGGTACCCCCTTTGAATTCTGATTACAAAATATTCAAACCTCAATTGCTCGGTAACCGTTGAGCAAATTGCATTAAAATTTCCAGAATTTGTAGCTTTCACAAAGTTCTACATGGCCTGTAATTTACTATATTTCCAGATTTAAAGTTTTTGAGCAAATTGAGTTTGAAGTTTTTTGACAAAATTTGGACTAAAAGTCAACTTTGAGGCTCAATTACTCAAAAGCTATTTGAGCTATGGAACTCAATTTTGCACGGATTTATAGAGAATTTAATTCTCTTTCCAATTATGTATAATTTATTTCAATTTGCTCAAAATTTACCAAAGATATGGGCAAATATTCATGACCATGTCAAGATTTTGAAAATTTTCCAGAGCCAAAAATAGGATTTTCTTTTTATTTTTTGGTCTGCTTAAAATGATCATCTGGAATTGATATCATGGTTGTTTTCCACTAATTTTGACCCGCTCTTTCGATTCATAAAGTCAAAATTGAACAAATAAAAAAATAAAAAAATCGAATTTTTCATAAGGGTACCCCCTTTGAATTCTGATTTCAAAATATTCAAACTTCAATTGCTCGGTAACCGTTGAGCAAATTGTATTAAAATTTCTAGAATTTGTAGCTTTTATTAAGTTCTACATGGCCTGTAATTCACAATATTTCCAGATTTAAAGTTTTTGAGCAAATTGAGTTTGAAGTCTTTGACAAAATTTGAACTAAAAGTCAACTTTGAGGCTCAATTGCTCAAAAACCAATTAAGCTATCGAACTTAATTTTGCACGGATTTATAGAGAATTTAATTCTCTTTACAATTATGTATAATTTATTTCAATTTGCTCAAAATTTACCAAAGATATGGGCAAATATTCATGACCATGTCAAGATTTTGAAAATTTTCCAGAGCAAAAAATAGGATTTTCTTCTTATTTTTGTGTCTGCTTGAAATTGCCATTTGGAATTGATATCAGGGGTGTTTTCCACTAATTTTGACCCGCTCTATCGATTCATAAAGTCAAAATTGAACAAAACTGAAAAATAAAAAAATCGAATTTTTAATAAGGGTACCCCCTTTGAATTCTGATTACAAAATATTCAAACCTCAATTGCTCGGTAACCGTTGAGCAAATTGCATTAAAATTTCCAGAATTTGTAGCTTTCACAAAGTTCTACATGGCCTGTAATTTACAATATTTCCAGATTTATAGTTTTTGAGCAAGTTGAGTTTGAAGTTTTTGACAAAATTTGGACTAAAAGTCAACTTTGAGGCTCAATTACTCAAAAACTAGTTAAGCTATCGAACTCAATTTTGCACTTTAATTCTCTTTCCAATGATGTATAATTTATTTCAATTTGCTTAAAATTTACCAAAGATATGGGCAATTATTCATGACCATGTCAAGATTTTGAAAATTTTCCAGAGCCAAAAATAGAATTTTCTTTTTATTTTTGTGTCTGCTTAAAATGGCCATTTGGAATTGATGTCAGGGTTGTTTTCCACTAATTTTGATTAATCTACCATTACGAAATTTATGAAAACAGACATAAATTAATATTCTAAACGTTCATAATACAATAATCTCAATTTTTAAATATAGTGCCTTTTTTGCCCGTTCTGATTTTGTATTACCTT